CGGTGAGTTTGGGGTCCGTCTTGCGGCGGAATCGCTCTTTCGCCCGGAGTTTGGAGAAGGTTCGTCTGAGCAGCGGCTCTGCCATCACTGAAACTACACACACACTCCACACACACGCTCATTCAACTCTTCTGCCGGACTCAAACTCCACACACTCATTCAACTCTTCTGCCGGACTCAAACTCCGTGGAAACTCACGGCAAACCGGAGAGACTCTCGCGCTCATGATGCCAAACACAGGAAACACATTCCACACATTCCACTGCTGAGAGACTCTCACGCGCACCGCGGGGCATCATGGGAAATGTAGTTTACAGTCTGTCAGTATACATATAGATAGACAGGATAGATAGACCGACAGACAGGATAGATAGATAGATAGATAGATAGATAGATAGATAGATAGATAGATAGATAGATAGATAGATAGATAGATAGATAGATAGATAGATAGATAGATAGATAGATAGATAGATAGACCATTATTTTTACCAAAATAAATAAATAAATAATCTGGGCAGTTTGATTGGCTAAGAATCTCATGTTACAGCAGCGCCATCTGCCGGTTGGATTTGTATAAAACTAAACATCGGATGAACATGAACTTGTAATAACATTCTGTAACCGAAAGCACTTTCATTAATCTCATGTATATTTATTCGAGTTTGTATTGGATTCAAATACAAATATATAATATTCAATAAATAAATATTATGAATATTAATATTTATTGATAGAACAAGTGTGTGCGGAGCATCTGAGCACTTTCTGTAGGCTACTGGAAAATAATGTTTTCATAAACCTTCAGTGATGTGCATCATTAATCACGTGACAGTTTATTAATCATGTCTGCTGTACAGTAGCTACAGTATATGCTGCATGTGTGATGATTAGCCTATGATGATGATGCATTAGGACCCGGAACTGCAGAACTTCATTTGACTAGAAACCCTTCAGCAGCTCGTCATACAGGTCTTATTAATGTGACATTTTAAAGAGTGCATAAGTGTGTTTATGGCGTTTTTAAACAACGCATGGATGAGAATGCGTCACTGTCCGTACTAGACTAGGCTATATGATTTTAATATTTAATTTTTGATCGGCGCACATTAAACCCGCGATGCCGTGGTGACAGGTGTTGTTCTCTACAGGTTCTGGATGATGGGTCTGATCGGGCTCGTGCACGCGCTGCTCTGCAGGTGCTCGGTGTTCGGGGTCCTCGCGCTCTCCTGTGCCGCGCTCCTGTGCGCGTTCGCGGCGCGTGTCGAGTTCAAGCGGCGCGCGCTGCGATGCTTCAACCAGCCGCCGCAGAGAAACTGGATCATGGGACACATGGGACTAGTGAGTTCACCTCAGATCCATATAGCCTACATATATTCATCATTAATTAGCCTACCATAAAAATATCGGTTACACTTTATTTTAAGGTGTCATTGTTAACTTACAGTGTAATTATATATGTAAGTAGGCCTAATATTAAGCAACTATAGGCTACTTAGGGTTAGGATAGGATTATAAATCGGTTGAGGGTTAGTTACATGTAATACCGGTATGCATATGTTAATATGTATTGCATATGAACCTCTGTTATTTGTGCATTTTTGATATTTAGCATTGCAATTACAGTAGCTATATTATAGTTGTGCCTCTGTATTTTTGAGCTAATGCATTTTGCATGTGTAGATGTGTGAAAAGATTAAGAGTTGATCTGCAGGCTGATAGACTGCATCGGAAAACTGTTGCATCAATAAACGGAAGAAATGTTATTTCTCAAGAGACTGAGATGAGAAGATGTCCATAGAAAAGAGGGAAGAAGGAAAGAAAGTCGAGAAGTGATATTGCATTGTTGTTAAGTTGTAAAACTGAGCATGCCGTGAGAAATGTCTGTCAGGAAAAGCAGAAAAACATGTTCTGCTCAAATGACATTAGGCTCGTTCATCATCAGCTGGAAGTGAACTCTGAACCGGTTCAGGAACTAGACTATGATTCATGCAAAACCTCGTTATCTGGAATCTCAGAGCTCATGGTTTGAGATGCAAGGGTTTCTGTTTTAAAGAACGGCTTTCCTCATCATGAGGGATAATAATGCGCGGTTATTTGCATCTTTTATGTTGTTTTTATGTTGTTATGATCTATCAGAATACTTCATAATATGCATGGCAAAGTGATTCACTCGATTTGTCAGAATGTGCAATACTGGACACACTGCAATAAGCTCGACCTCAGTGTGATGAAAGAACAGGAAGGTTTTTCTGCTCAATCTTAACTAACGATCAACTGCCAAAAATCAAGACATTTTATACACAAATATGTATAAAAACATTAATTTAAATGATAAAACTGGATTCTTCCTGCTGAATGAAACAGTGAAGTCATACTGTTTGCTTTGTTTGCATAATGCTTGCTGTTTCACATATGATAAAAACAGCAGTGTCCTTTATGGGTTAATCTTTTATAATATGATCGTCCTCATGCCAGGATCGAACATTTAAAAGGCAGC